GGCCCCGGCCTCGGCCTCGGCCTCACCTTCAGCATCACAGGCTTCTCCTCCTCCTTGTCGATGGGGATGTTGGTGCTGTGCACCCAGGTGTTGGTGCACAGGTGTCGGAGCCGGACGTAGGAGTTCCTACGGGGGAAGAGGGGTTCGGGTGGGAATCCTTAGGTTTTCCACAGCCGCCGGCCTGGGACACATTCTATCCAACAACGAAACCACCAAAGCAGCCGATGCTGGGGTGAGTCAGAGACGCCCCAGCAACCCTGTTGGGCTTAAACATTTAAGATTTGGGACTTGCTGCCTGTGTGAGTGGCTTAAACTCTCCGAGCCTCAGTTTCTCCATCTGTGGGAAGGGGCGATAGGAACACCTATCTCACGGGGCGTTTGTGAAGATGAAATGAGAGAACACACGTGTGGCACTGGGCACGGCGTGCGGTCAATGCTCGGGAATGGCAGCCGCTACTCGGGAGACGGCTGCTGACTTTATTAGGGGTGAGCTTTGTCCCGTTTTATAGGCCAGTTATCCCCCCAGAAATTCTTTCTTCTGCAACAGAACCAAGAGTTAAATGTAATAAAGTAACCAAAGACTGGTCTGATTTCTGAATACTTATAATAAAATTCACTTTGTACTCCGTGAATTTCAAATATTCCCTTCTCTAGAATTTCTCTTCAACTGTTCACTCAGTTCACCAGGAGACCCCTCCGCTGGGAAGGACGAGAGGAACGCAATGGGAACACCGAGCTACGCGACCTTCAGGTCTGGCTTGGGGACCTACACGTGGCACTTCTACCCAACCACTGAGGACTCACCATTGATGAGCCAAAAAAAAATTTTTTTAAATCAGACACCATTCCAGTGGGCAGTCAGAACAAGGCCTTTTCCAACCCCCCACCCCCCGTGGAAAACCTTCAAGAAAGACTCCAGGACACCGGCCAGGCCACAGCCACCGGCCCGACTCGCGGGGGATAAGCCACGTTAGAGTCGCACCTGGGGACAAGGCTGTCGCCTCCGCGGAGAGTGGTGGGGTCTAGCTCAAAAATGGAGGAGATGTCGTTGCCTTCGGGCACGGAGACCAGCGAGTACACCATCTTCTCCTGGGCGTTTCGCAGCCTGCTCCGAGAGGCGTCCTGGTCGGGGTCCACCTGAGGAGCCAAGGCCAGAGTCAGGGGTGCTGCGGGCCGCGCCCACCGCCGGCACCAGCAGGGCGCGGGCCCCAGGAGGGGAGGAGACATGGCGTGAGCAATGGCAGGAAAGCTCCGGCGCCTCAGAGCAGCCACACAAGACGGGCGCTCCCTCCTTGGGTTGCAACAGAAATATTTAGAAAAGGGGGTTATGACTGTCGCCGTCCGAGGGCGGCGGGCAGCAGGGGACCCGCCGAGCCACATCCAGCTGGGCAGAGGGGCAGCAGCTGGAGAAAGGCGTCCAGGGGACTCGGTGAAGGGCCGTGGCGTGAGCCACGGTGACACTGCCTCGCGGTAATCGGATGCAGCCTCTTCCCAGGAGGAGAAATACAACAAAGAGATCTGGCCCCAAGTGTCAGTAAGCAATGATCCCAGGGTGGCCAAGAAAATACCTGAGAGGTCAGGCCAGCCCTGAAAAAAAAGTTCGTCGTTAATCGCGAGGGCCGCCCACAACAGGGCGGGGAGGGGCCCGGCTACGTGAGCGTCTGGCCGGGACTGACGATCTCGAGTGAGGCCGGATGAGCGACGACGAAAGTGTCCCCGAGAACCTAGACACCAGAGGCCGCCTGCCTGGGAAGGCGGGAGCAGGTGCCCAGCCCAGCCCCTGCTGCTGGAGGCTTCGCGAGGCCGCTCTCAGCGCGGCGACGCTAAGGGGCTTGTTGGCAACGATTAGTGTCGTCCTTGCAGGATGACAACCACCTGCGTCTACTCGGGGACATTTTTTTTGGTCCTTAGTGTGCTTTGCTCAGGCGGATGCCCTGCCTCCTCCCTGAGGGGGGCGGAGAGGGAGGCGAAGTCTTAGGGGCAGAGGGGAGGAGCCTGGAGACGGCACCCGTGGGCCCCACCCGAGGGCTGCAGGCCATGGGCAGCCTGGTCAGCTCGCCTGCAGCCCCAACTCCTGTCTGCAGAAAAGAGAAAAAGAAAAAATGCTGCTTTTATACCCCAAACCTGCCTCCTCCCTCTCCTGAGCTCCCGCCTCTAACACCACGTGGACCTTCCGGATGATCCCACACCTCGCGGCTCCGTCCACAGCAGCGTGAGAACCCTCCCGGGAGCCCCACGCCTCTCCGAGCTCCACTCGGGACAGGGAGCTTTGCGTGGACCGTCCTCTCCCAGCCGCTGCGACCTGCAAGGTGTCCCCACGCCACGTCCACGGTAACCCCACCTGGTTCTGGTTTACGACCGCGGGCCGGCAGCGAGATCTCAGACACCTGCCGAGCCAGAGGAAAACCAGCACTGCGTTCAGGCCGTTCAGGCCGCGTCCGGCGCCAAGAGCAGCCGCTCACCCTCTGCGCAGCTCTGGGTGCCCACGGCCTCCCTGATGGCGGGCGAGCGCCACCTAGTGGGAGCCCGGGCACAGTGCAGAGGCCCTGGGGCCGGAGCCGCCCCGGAGTCGCCCTCACAGCCCCTAGGCACTGGGTCCCGCGGTCCAAACGCCATCGCCCCCACCTCCCCCGCCTGGCTTCCCGCCACATCCCCGCTCCCTGCAGGAGGCCACAGTCTCCTCCAAAGTAACCTCGGGGGACACGTACTGTCCCCCAGACGGCAGCAGGGGGACCAAGGAGGCAAGTCCCACGAGGGCAGACCTTCCTCTCAACATAAAGAAGTCTCGGGGACAAGAAGTGTCAGGAGAAGGGACACCCCTGCCGCCCCGTCTCCGAGCGCCCTCCACAGTGAACGCCACGCCGGGACGGGGGGGCGCAGGTCGCCGCGCACGCTGGCAGAACTCGGAGGAAGTGTCTCTACCTTCCGTTAACAGTGGGAAGAAAGCTTTCACACCGGGCTCTGGAAGTGGGGAGAAGAGGGCCCCGGGGAGAACAGAGGACAGGAGGGGAAGCCCCCCAGCAAGTCCAAGTCCAGGACACGCCCTCGGCAGAGCCCCTCTGCGTCTTCTCCAGAGCGAATGTCCTACCCAGATGCAACGAGAAGGTTCACTTTCCAAAAACGACGATGTTCTCTTATCTCCACCCAATTCCCGTCACTCATGGGCCTACTGTAAAGTCCCTCCAATTCCTTAGGGAAAAAACAGCCCCAGTAACACCTAACCCATGCACCAGAGACCATCACGTGGACATGCTACGTCCAACAGAGCAGCAACCGTGTGGATTTCTGTTACCCCTGCACCAGAAGGAAGCCGGGACGAGGAAACGGCCTCATCCACACAACTCCTGCCCTCCTCAGCCCACCGCTGTGGACGCCTGCGCCCCAGGCGCCTGCGCATCAGCGTGGCCTCCAGAGAAAGGCCCAGCTGGCACTGAAATCCCTCCCGCGTTACAAAGCCCATGGCTGACTCTGCGGAAGCAAGAACACACGGTTAGACAGCAGTGTGTCTAACAGAGGGCAGGTGCACCCAGCCACCTGTCACCTCCACCGGCTAACGGGCACCGCCCACCTTGCACACGCATTCCTTGGAAATTCTGAATGAGTGACAGATTGGGGTCAACAGCAAAAGAACATTTGTTTGTAAAACGCCGTCTCCAACCCTGGAGTCTTCCGAGATACACCACGAACTTCTGCAACTTAGAGACGGAGACCCCTTGAGCGAGCACACACACAGCATCGTGACGGACAGGTCCTTGAACCAATCAGGACACAGGACGTAGGACTGCCCGCAAGAAAGGCCCAGACAAGACCGTCTCTGAAGGCGGCCGATGGCGTCCCGTCCCCAGCACTCAGCGACCGCGGCGGGCTGGCGGAACAGCTGGCCTCGCCCTACCAGACAAAGACGAGAAGGCTCTGGCCCATACTTACTGAGGGCTGAAACTCCAGGCACTCTTCCTCAAAGTCAGGGTCTACCTGATGGGAAAGAATCGTTGGAAATTAAAACATCCACCCATTGCTCAAGGACTCGGCCCCACTTGCAGGAGGCGCCCAGGCCTGCGAGCACCTCTGAGCGGCTGAGAACATGTCCCTTCCCTCTGCTCACGACACCAGCATGCCACAACACGTCACAGGACCACAGCACGCACGGACCTCCCGCCCCCGACGGGCGGCACACAGCAGGGAAAAAAGCCTGCGGTAACAGAAGACCAGTCTCCAGTCTGACATCCTCCCGCTCACTTCAGTGAGAAATAAAAAGTCTGCGGCCTCAGGAGCTACACTCGCTGTGGAACAGAGAGACCATCATGGATCTTGGTTGAGCCGTGGAATCGACATTTCCCACAGCTGGAGTGGGGTCCCCGATGCCCTGGGCTCCATATTAAACTTAACTTAGTGTGACCTTTAGTTCTTAAATAGTTCCAAGCCACCAGTTCATACCAATGTCAGGCATCCTGGGGGGCCTGGTACATGAGACTTGGGCTTCCCTGGGGTCAGGGAGGGGCTGCCAGCCGGGCTTCACCCTGAGAATCTCTGCGCAGCCCCAAATGCTGGCCCCAGACCATGGGGGGTCATCTGATGCACGACTAGAATCTGGTGGGAACGTGCATTGTGCATCTCCCAGCAGATCGTAGTAAAACTCAGCACCTGTCACACAGGAGGGTAGCTCCTTAACTTGGCACAAAAATTAAGAGGTAAATTCCTCCTGTCCTTCGGCAATAAGTCTTGTCTTTCTTCAGAAACCCTTATCAGACGTTTAAGGTGAAGTTCATTTCTTTGACGCTGACATTCCTCTAAGTTAGGGGTGGGGAACGTTCAGGCCGAGGGTCGTATATGGCCCGAGAAATCCTTTGGTCTGCCCCTGCCAAGGCCTCCCCTAAGAGAAGCAGTTCCAGCCATCATATTAGGGGTGAGTTAATTAAATGTTTGTCCAAATACGGCAGGCTAATTTTTTAAGTTGATAATTTTGTATGGCCCTCGAATGATGTTTTAAACATCCACATGGCCCTTGGCAGAAAAAAGGTTCCCCACCCCCGCCTGAGTACAAGATAAGCCCTGTCTGTTTGTCCCACTGATGCTCTGAGAACTAGATGCCCCATGAAACTAATTCTTTATGTGCCTCAGTGCTGCCGGCATCACAAGCCACGCGTCTCGACAGCCGTGTCTCAGGCGTTCCCGTCAGGAGCAGGGTGGGCAGGTAAGATGTGGGGAGAGCAGAGCTCATGAGCAAACAGAACCGCAGTCCCAGCCCCAGGTTAGCCTCCTTTTAAAAGATATATATACTCTGGCAGCAGCTTTTAAATGCACGACACAGTGTTGACTGCGGTCACCTTGCTGTCCATCACGTGCCCAGGACAGCATCTCCTCTCCCCACATCTTGATGGAAACCCGCGGGAGGGACTAGGTGTGTCAACAAGTTACCTTTCCTTGTCTGTACGCAGGGAAAGGAGGCAGAAGGGAACAGAAAGGCAGGACAGGAGCAAGTGCCTGGGCGTCACCCAAGCCCCTCGCTGCCCAACACCTGCGGGAAGGGAGGGAGGAAGGGAGGGAGGAAGGGAGGGAATGGGGCCGCGCCAGCCTCAAGGACGAACCCGGGGCTGCACTTACCTCTGCCGCTAGGTAGTGCCCTGTGGCCAGGTGCTTGAACCGGAAGAGGCTGTTCCAGTACCCCGCTCCGCCGCGGCAGGGGTCGTGTTGCACCACCTGTGAGAGGCGGAGGGAACGGTCAGGGCGGGCCGGGGACCCGGATCCCGGCCATCGCGCACACGTCAGGGTCCGGCAGCGACGTTTACCAGCTGAAAAAATCAGTATCTCCCAGCGAACCCATCGTGTCGTATGTGATGCCAGAGCCCAGGCACAGGAAGCACTAGCAACACGTCTCCCAGGAAATCGAGTCTCCCGGTTAACGTGAGTTGCGACAGAGAAACGGCGAGAGAGAGAAAACCAGGTGGAAGAGAGGATTCGACAGCCGGGGGAAGGAATTCCCGGTGTCGGTGTGTTTGCCTCCAAAGTAGACGCTGTTTCTGCCCCAGGCGCAGCGTCGGACGTGGCGGGTCGGACGTGGCGGGATGGGGGTTCCTCTAGGAGCCCCAGGAAACAGGGTGGGCATCCCGCCTCCGGCCCCCTTACCTCCACCTCCCACAGGGCCTTGGAGCTGGTGGCGGACGTGGCCGACTGCCGGCCGGTGGTGCGCAGGAACACGTGCTGCTTCTTCCGATGCTCGTCGCAGGTGAGGAACTTCTCCTGCTCGGCGTGGAACAGCCTCACCACGTCCCCCTGCGTGTCACACCGAGGGATGAAGGAACGTGGACTTCAATCGGGACACCGCCGCCGCCCGGGGAGAGGCCCGTGGCCCAGCCACGGCGCCCACGCTCACCCCCTTCAGTATGTCCTCCTTGTTGTCGCTCCACTTCATGAAAAGCACGATCTTCCAGCTGGTGTTGCAGTTGACAGAATTGACCTGGGAGAGAATCGGGGCTCACTTCACGCTCCCCTCAGGGCAACTCTGACTTCCAGCCCCAGACCCGAAGGCCGGCACCCTTGCGGTCGAGGCGGTGCAGGCGCCGGCCCATTCGGAGCGAAGGGCCCGCCTGAACCAGCCACGCTGTGCGCTCCCCGACTACACCACCAGGTCCCGCCCTTCTGGAGCGACATAGTCCCTCTTCTCTAAGTCTCTTCTACAGCCAGAAAGTAAAGGCCCAGGGAAAACAAATCCTTATAAAAGGGGACGCACTGCAAAGGTGAGAAAGCGTCCAGTGTCTACATTCTGAAACGTTCGTGACAATGAACTCTTAGTGACAGTCCATCCAGTCCTCAGCCACACCCTGAAAACAGGAGTGACCATTGCCCATTCCACAGACAGGAAGACTGATGCCCAGGGAGCCTGGGGGACTAACCTACAGCCCTAGAGCTGGGGTGGGGGCAGATTTGGGATTTGAACCCACACCTACTGACTCCAGAGCTGTGTCCTCAAACATTAGACAACTATTCACGTCCCCACTGTCCCTGTCCTGTGTCCTGTAACTGTCAGTTTAGAGGCTAAGGGGGGGAACTGCCAGAAGCAAGTGTCACTCAACAGGGCTGCTGGTGGCCGCAGTGGATCCTCCTGAGAAATTAGCAAAAAGCGCTCTCTCTAAAAGGACAAGTTAGACAATAGGGCCCCTTGGCCAGAAAAACCTGGTAAGAGGGTCCCTTCTATGGCTTAATCAACTGGAAACCAATCCTCCCGTGACTTAAGGCTCCAAAAACTGCACCCTCGGGGGACAATCAGCCCCACCCACCACATAGCCCAGCACAGCCTCCTGAGGTGGCCCTGACCGGGCCTCGGTTTCCACGCATGACCCATGTCGCTGCCGGAGTCACTGTCCACAAACACGCTATGGCCCCGGGGCCTGCTCCTGCAGTGCCCCCCCCAGGCTGTGCCTCGGTTTCCCTTCCTTACCTCGTTGCAGCCTGGGTTGTCCACCAGCTGGTGGCTGCTGGCGTGTAGGGGCTGGCCAGCATTGACGGGGTTCAGGACGACCTTGTCACCTATGACCACCTGGAAAGAAGGGACCGTGACAGCCTGTCACAAAGCAGGTCAGGAGTCGCCGGAGGCTCTGATTTAAAATTCTCCTAGCCGACGGGTACAGTGCGGCCTCAGCTTGGGGGACCTGACTCACACTGTCCCCGATGGACCGCAGCTTGTAGAAGGGCTGGATGTAGAACCAGGAGCCCTCGTTGCCCGCCTCGTCCAGCGTCACCCTCATGGCATTCTTCTCCAGCAGGGCGGGCAGCCTCTTGTTCACGGTCAGGTACTTGTTACTCTTCAGGTGCAGCAGCTGAAACCCGGGGAACAGGAGGGTGTCGGCGAGGCTGACCCTCTGCGGCTCCTCCCAGCAGGTAAAGTGGGGGCCCAGCTCACCGGGAAGCTGGGGAGCCACAGAGGTGCCCCAGGCCGGGGATGGGAGGGCAGAGGGGCGGGAGTGGGGGGCAGGAGG